GGGAGGGAGGGGGAGAGAGGAAGAAACATCAATGGTAAGTGAGTCATTGATTGGCTGCCTCCTGCACGCCCCCGACTGGGGATTGAGCCCGCAACCTGGGCATGTGCCCTGACCAGGAATCGAACCCCCATCGCCTGGATCCTAGGTCGACGCTCAACCACTGAGCCACGCCCGGCCTGGCTACTGTTTGTTTGTTTGTTTAATTATTAAAACAGTGTTGCTGGGGCCCGGCCGGGCATGGCTCAGTGGTTGAGCGTCAACCTGGGATCCAGGCAATTGGAGTTTGATTCCCGGTCAGGGCACATGCCCGGGTTGTGGGCTCAATCAGTGACTGTCTCACCATTGATGTTTCTATCTCTCTCTCTCCCTCTCCTTTCCTCTCTCTGAAATCAATAAAGATATATTTAAAAAAAAAAAAGTAAAACAGTATTGCTGGAAAAAGGGAAAATACAAAGAAAAAAATAAGAAATTTCTGTTCTATTAGGTTTTTCCCCTCTACCGTCATCTTCTAATTTATATTAACTTTACCACTCACCTTTTATCACAGAGTCAAGGAAAATGCACATGAAGTACACTGTTTTCATATACACAAATAATGCTACACAAAGTGATTGCTGCTTTTTAAATCATTGGGGGAAAAGTTTTTAGTAAAACCTTCTAAAAGACCAGATTTGTGAATCAGAACCAGTTTTAGGATGTGAGTCTGTTTTAAATCTCTTACCAATCTTTTTCTTCATTATATGCATTAGTAGTGGCATGTAATATCTTGGTCTACTAGTAGCACATTATTAACTTGTTTCTGATTTTAAACATAATATATCCCCATTATAGGAAGTTTGAAAATATAAAATAGGAAATTTTAATTCATAAAGTGGTAACTGCTGTTAATATTTTGGGATATTCTTATCTCTAAGCATTTATGTGTGTTTTTATGTATGTATGTATAATTTTGTGTAGATATGTATGCCTTAAATTTTTAAAAAAATGAATAAGTTGCATGCAGTTTTCTGTCCTACTTTACAATTAATATTAAGTCATGAGCATTCCCCCCTAAAAACACCATTTTAAAATGGCTTGTGTAACACTTCTTTTCAGGGTGCTGTACAGTGATCTGTTACACGCACTCTTTATTAGGTTGTTCAGTTTTCACTCTCAATAGAATGACGAGCCTCTTCATTATTCGTTGTCTGATTATTTTCTGAGAATAGATTCCTATCAAGAAGTATTTAAATTTTAAGGTTCTTAATATACATTCCATATCTCTTGACAGACCATCTTTGGGTTTTGTTTTATTAGAATTTGCATTTGTTATTGTATGAGTAATGCATTTGAGTTGAAATTTTGGAAAATGTAAGGGAAGTAGGAAACAGTTACTCTTTTTTGTCACAGTAATTGTTAGCAATTGGGTGTAATTTCTTTAATCATCTTTTTCCTATATAATTGTTATACTGTGATTCTGTACATTCAATTTGGTACCCACATTTTAAGAAAAATTCACATCATTTTATAATATAAAAGAACACTTGTTATAATGTCTGCGTAATCAGTATGTTTTTAAAAGGTAGCCAGCCATATGTTCAGATTTGAGGCTAGCAGTTGGAGGAGAAAATAAATCCCTTTAGTCATCCAGGACTTAAGGATATGAAACATCGATAAGGATGCCTGTGTCCTTCTATTTACCCGTCCTCCCTCCCTCCTTCTCTGCTTCCCTTCAATACTTTTGGTGAAAAAAGCCGAAGGAGGGAATGTCTTTGGAAGCATTAAACAAGAAAACTAGGTAATTGCTATAATTGTTGCTGCACTTTACTTGTTTCCTGCTCAAAATTGTCATTCTTCTCAGGCAACAAGATAGTGGGGGTTTTTGTTGTTTTAATCCATATGTTAATGCAAAACCGCAAGTAATGACATGACTTCTTTCTGGCTCTTTGTTGTTATTATGACTTAAGGTTTACTCTTTTGAGCCTGAGATGTAATTAAGGGATGAGTGTATGGCAAAAGGCTCTGACAACAGGAGTTTAAAGTCATTTACTTTCTCACTGGACTCCTACTTATTCTATGAATTTTATTGGGGGTGTTTTGTGGGTTTTTTTAATTTTATTTTTAAATAGCAGTTGACATTCAGTATTATTTTAGATTCGTTTCAGGTGTATGGCATAGTGGTTAGACAATTATATAATTTACAAGGTGATCTCCCCGATAAGTCTAGTACCCACCTGGCACCATGCATACTTATTAGAATATTACTATGTTTTCTGTGCTGAACTTTACATCCCTGTGACTATTTTGTTAACAATCTGTACTTCTTAATCCCTTAACCTTTTTCAACCAGTCCCCTCCTCTTCATCAGTTTGACTCTGCATCTATGAGTCTGTTTTTGTATGAATTTTATTGTTTAATGAAAGTCTAATTACTGAAGAGCCTCCACTGTTTTTGTACCACAGGTAGTGTTTGACAAACGTACTTCTTAAGATGATGGGTATAATTGTGCTTATATCTTCTTAGGTTTACCATAGTTACTTTTGGCCATTGGAATGGACGATTCCATCAAGAGATAGCAACAAATGCTACGCAAAAATTGTCTGTAATATGAAAGACAACGTAAGTGGAATTCTCATTTAATCCTTTCAACTAATCTCATTTTGTTTTTAATATGTAGCTCTAGTTTGATCACATGACACACATTGCATTCCTTTACCGCTTTATCTGTCGATCTCCCCAGCTGCATAAACCTCTGAGGGCAAGGACCATGGTGACACAGCTTACTCTTCCTCAGATTCACTGGCACGGAGCCTGACACATAGGAAGCAGGCAGTTAAATTCGATGAGTGAAGGAACCAGAGGGAGAACTTGAGAACTCTTTGTTTGCATGTATGAAAGGGAACCCGTTAAGTCATTGATTATCTAAAAATAATGACAAAACGAAAAAGAACAGGAGTAATGCAACATTATATCCTAAGCAGCTGGTACAAATGAGAAAGCAGTAATCAGAAGAGCTCTTGCCCAGCCAGGCGTGGCACAGCGGTTGAGCATCGACCTAGGATCCAGGAGATCGGGGTTCGATTCCCGGTCAGGGCACATGCCTGGGTTGCGGGCTGCAGCCGATCAGTGACTCTCTCATCATTGATGTTTCTATCTCTCTCTCTCCCTCTCCATTCCTCTCTCTGAAATCAATAAAGATATATTAAAAAAAAAAAAAAAAGCTCTTGAGTTCCAATTTAAGATTTCATTGCTTGCTGCTACATGTAACAATTGATAATGAAGGCCTATAGGCAAACTACTTAATCTCACAGTTTGTTTCCATACTTACAAAGCCATTGAATAAATCATTGGTTTTCAGACTTTTCTGACTGTTGCCCCCATTTTATATTGTAACTCAGGGCACATGTATGCCCGTACACATACACTATAAGCATGAGAACTGATATTTTTAACTTAGCTGGAATCTTTAAGTAAAAATGTCCTCAGTAAAAATGCAAATGATGCTAAAGAATCCATATGTTAAAAGTCCAATTAACTCACAATTTTCTTATCTGGGATTTGAAAATAATTAAGCTACATATTCTGTTTAGAAGTTACTGCTCTAGACAGAAGCACAGTTGCAGATTCCTTTTTGCAGAACCCAGGGTTCTAAGAAATCCTGAATCCTCTGCATGAAAAGGTCATCATAGATACACTTAATAAGTGAATATACTAGGATAATCCATAGCGAGCTATACACAGTTGACATAAAGAACAATTTTAGGTAGAGTTTTGTTTTTTTTTCCAGACAAGTTTTGTGAAAAGTTTATTAGTGTATTTATTCGTGTGAGTGATTGTGCCAGGGCATGCACTAGCTAATGGCAGAGCTGGAATTCAGTCCCAGGCAGCGTCCATTCCAAGCTGTTAACTGTTGTCCCTTGTCTGTGTAGGGATATCTCGCTCATATTCCTTCTTGATCCTGTTTTCATCATTTCTTCCCTGCCCCACAGGCAACAGTCTTGAAGTTGGAGTGTCTCACCTGTTCATATATTTACATTTGTCCCCTTGATGTGTCTGTAAACTATATATTGTGGCTTAATTCAGTGGTATCCTCAGCTAAATAGAAGCCTGTAACTTGTTCTTAATTTCATTTTTTAAAATATATCTTTATTGACTTCAGAGAGAAGAAGGGAGAGGGGGAGAGAGATAGGAACATCAGTGATGAGAAAGTTGTCATTGATGGGCTGCCTCCTGCACGGCCCCAACTGGGAATGGAGCTCACAACCCAGGCATGTGCCCTGACTGGGAACTGAACCTCGATCTCCTGGATCCTAGGTTGATGCTCAACTGCTGAGCCACACCTGGCTGGGCTAATCTCATTTTTTGAGAACTGTCCATGTTATTACATGTACTTCTAGTATATTTTAAGACCTAGTATATTTTATGCCTTATTTATCCATACTCAACCCCTGATTGTCAGGATGAATGATGTAAGTCCAACGTGGAATATGTTACAGTACTTTGGCAGCAGAATGACTTTCGTGATTGCTTTCCGTAGAGTGATTGAGCCTTAGGCTCTGCACCCCACAGCCTGAGTTGCCTGTTATGAGGAGATTGGATTAGACAGTCTAGCTCAGTCAGAGATGTCTCTGAAAGTCTGAACAATAGAATGAATTAGATTTCTCTGCTCTTGGCAGAGTTTCTCCTGAGTTGGGGTTTTAGAATTTATCCAAAATAATTCCCACACAGGTATTTCAGTTGCCAAACATTTTTCTGTTGTTTTCAGATTGTGACTTAAGTCTAATTGTGCTATCAGTCCTCAAAACCCAAGTTAAAATGATTTTTAATTTGAATGAGTGCTTTTAAGTGTTTGAGCTATTGCAGTTTATCTGGAGCTTTGAGACGACCATTTAGAGGAGATGAGGGCACAACTACCCTTCGAAAACATTATCCAGAACACTTTGAGCTTCTGGAGTTGCAGGCAGTTTTGCTTTCAGTGTTTTCCCGTGTCATCACTCGTGGCCAGCTCTCGTCTTTTCCTTTTTGCTTGATGTGACCCCACTCTTTATTGGCCCATGTGGAGTTATCTTCAGCCTAAACAGCTTTTAGCAGCAAGCATTAATATAAGTCTGTGGCTGTTTCTGAATGGGGTTTTTAGAGTGGACTGGGAAAATACTGTAGGCCGTTAAGGGGGGAGAAATCAGCATAATTGTATTACATTATTTTATATCTTAGGAACGTGTTGTGGGCTTCCACGTGCTGGGTCCCAATGCTGGAGAAGTTACACAAGGCTTTGCAGCCGCACTCAAGTGTGGACTGACCAAGCAGCAGTTGGACAGCACCATCGGGATCCACCCCGTCTGTGCAGAGGTGGGTCACCTGCGATTACATAATTCTGTTTAAAAATGCACACCACCCTGCTTAGAAGTGGGATATCCAGGACTCTGGAGCTCGTGTTCTTCCTGCTGTACTTGAGTTGCTTCTGTGCCTCCTAAAGCTCCCTAATCAGTGAGGATACCTCAAAGGAAGGCCTATCTCTAGAACCTATATTTTCCTCTTGCAAATGTTCTTTGTTCCTAGTGTGAACTTGATAGTACTGTCATGCTATTAAATTGTAGAGGCCTCGAGTGATTTATAGATATATACCTTAAATCTTTTATTTATCATGTCTTTTAAGTTGTTTTCATGTCAGTCAGTTAATAATGCTATTCACACCCAGAAAGGGCTTCAGATCTCGTTATCTTGGAGGCACCTTAAGGCTAAATAAGTGTGCCTCTTTATTTAGCTTTTGGTATCGGAGAATGAGATTCGAAAACGATGCTTTTAAAAGATCAGGCACATGACAGCAGAATTAGAAATTGACCACTCTGGGCCTCTGGGTGTCAGTGTTTCTTCACTTCTGTCTGGAGTTGAATATTGTGATGCTTGCTGTTAACTAGGGACTGTAAACCCAAAATGTGTCTGTATTGGAGAACTTGGTGAAGATTGGGAAGAGCTATCTCCTACCAGCTCAAGTATGGAGTTGAAATTACGGCTGTTGTCTGGCCACCATAGTCAGTGGTTTCCCCAGTGTACCTTGTGCTTGCACACACATGCACACAATCACATCCACTGCACACACCTGCCAGTTTTCATTCAGCAACCTGCCAACTGGTCAGCCCTTATACAACTGAACTCTTTGCTGAGTATGAAATGTCAGCTGAAAGACCTGGGAAAATATTTCATTCTTTTGCTTGGCTGTATTAGGGATAGTGTCCGCCTCTATTATGCACCTGGCTGGGATAGTAGCATAAAATAATAACATATTCAGTAACTGAGGCATTATTCATAGAAAACTACTGTCTTGTGAACTAAAACTAAGCTTCACAAAATATAACAGAAATTGAAAAGAGTCTAGATTAATGCTCTTAAACAATGTGCTGTGATAATACCTTTTATTCAGTGTAATGACTAAGACCATCACTATCTGCCTAGGGAAGGAACCAATTAAGTACTTTTTTAAAAACGTAACTTTTGGTGAGTGTGTTAGTTTCCTAGGGCTGCCATAACAAAGTACCACAAACTGGGTGGCTTAAAACAACAAATCTATTGTCTCACAGCTCTGGAGGCTAGAAGTCTGAAATCAAGGTGTCAGCGGGGCCATGCTCCCTCCAGACCTTCTAGAGAAGAATCCTCTTGCCTCTTGTAGCTTTTTACGGTTGCTAGCAATCCTTGGTGTTCCTTTACTTATAGATGCATCTCTCCAATTTCTGCCTCTGTCTTCATATGGCTTTATCTCTTGTGTGCCTGTGTCCAGATTTCCTTATTACAAGGGCATCAGTCATTGGATTAGGGGCCACTCTAACCCATCATGACCTCATCTTAAATTGGTTATGTCTGCAAAGACACTATTTCCAAATAAGGCAACATTTACAGTACTGGGGCTTCAGACTTGACCATATCCTTCTGGGGGGCTTAAATCAACCCACAACAGTGAATATATTTAAAAACTTTGATGCCAGTCTAAGATACTTAAAAGCTACCACAATCATCTCCAGCGTGGATGAAAAGATAACTTCTCAATTTACATTTGTATGTCTAATTTTTTAATCTGAATTTGGCTCTCATAGGGCTGGTTAGAAGGAAGAATGCCGAGAGCTTGGCTCCTACCGCCTCCCTTGATGGTGTTTGTAGTGTTGTGATTCAGCAGCGATGAGCCCGGCAGCATCTGGCAGGATGGCTGCCAGCTGGGCAGAGAGGTGCAGTGAAGAGGCAGGACGTCTTCCTGAAGCCCCCACCTGCAGGGAGGCAAGCCAGAGGCTTGTTCTCCCTGATATACCAGGCACATTTGAGAGCCCAAGCGTTTGCTGCTGTGCATCTCCATCTGTTGGTTCTCTTAGGACGTTGAAGCTCAGAAGCTGATTTCCACTGCTTTGAAAGGGCATTTTTCCCCCCTTTTTTTCGAAGCTGGAGGCTGATTAATGATATAGAAAGTTGGGTGCTCTCTTACTCTGAACTCATTTGTTGTGCAGCTTTGTGCATAGCACTGTGCTGGGCACCTGGGGGGATACAGCAGGGATTTAAGACGCAGTTAAGAGCAGGGAGGCAGATGAGTGAAGTGCCAATTACAGTTCAGTGTGTCGAGCGCTAGCACAGGGTAATAGTATCCAGTGGTGTTTGGAGTAGGGATATCGGGGCAGGGTGGTTGAGGAGGGAGTCTTGCCTAAGACTAAGACTGTATTGGGTTAGCCAGTCAGAAGGAACACCAAATAAAAGGCCTTTGTGGGAGAGAGCATGGCTCATTCAGGGAACTGAAAGATCCTCAGTACTGCTGTAGCTTGAAGAGCTTAGATGTTTAAAAAACACACCTATGTATATATACACACTTACACATGCATACGGCCTCATAAACCAAGGTGCAGAGTATTTTGGCTTTATCCTGAGGTGCTGGCATTCAGCTGAGAGAAGCTTAAAGCAGGGGAATAACATGATCAGATTCACCGTTGAGGGAAACCACTCTTGCTACACTGAAACATGGACCAAAAGAGGCACGACTAGGGGCAAGAGTGGTAGCCTGAACTGAGGTGGTGGCGGTGGAAATTGAGAGACTGACCCATTGAAACAGGAAGAGAGGAGGTACCGGCCAGCTGGTGGGAAATGTGAACAGGGGAGAACTGAGGGTGACTCACATCTGTGCCTGAAGTGAGCGACAGGCGCAAGAGCAGGTGCGAGGGGAGAGCTTGGATGGTGGCACCGATGTTTGTGCGTGTCCTGGGTGTGTCCGGCACTCTGCTCTTTGTGTATTGACTTACTTAGTCCTTAGAAGTCCATGAGGTAGGCGGCAGTAGTATCTCCATTTGACAGGTGAGATGAGGACAGACAGGATGAGTAACTTGCCTACAGCTACCAGCTTGGAGGTGGCAGAACCGGGATTCAAACCCAATCAGCCTGGCTCCCGAGGCACCACCCCGTACAGATGATACTCCACTTCCACAGACCTTTCTACAATACTTGACGCAGAATTTTAAAAATGGAACTGATTTATTGGTAGGACCATGAACATAGTGGACACACACAGACCTGGGTTGTGATCTCTCTCAGCGAATTCTCAGTGAACCTGGCATGTCACCCAGCTTTTTAGGAGCTTAATTTCTGCATTCAATTAAAGAGATAATATCTAACTCATAGGGTTGGTGAGCAATGCTGTGTGGAAAGTTTCTTGGACAGTTTCTGGCATATGATAGATAATCAGTGACTGAATACATCTTTTAGCTGAGTTTCTCCAGGGTGTTTCATTATAGATGTGGCTTAACTAAATAGTTATCATTTCAATATTTATAAGGGGATCGGGGGTGGGAGGGATATGTACTTTGAAAAGGCTTCTCTGGATTTTTTTAAACCCCTGGTTATGAACTACTTGCTTAGAAATTAGATTTTGAAATGCCTAAGGCTACTAACCCTGACTATGGAAATCTTTTTTAAAGCTGCTTAATGGAGGGACAGTGAAGTTTGATTAGTAGGGGATTTTAGGGACTCTTCTCTATGCTAAATGCTGGGTTCTAACTTGGACTTGCTACTGGACCACTGTGTTTTCTTGTCAAGCCATATACTGTAGAGGGGTGCAGCTCAAAGTGCTGGCCACAGAATGTTTCTTACTGGTCCTTAATGAGTTAAGGATGGAAATAAGGTTTAGAAACTTGAAGAGTAATTTGACAGTATGTGATCTAATAATTAAAAGTTATGTGGCTTTTAAAAATTCACTTTCCTAATATATTTTATTGAATTTCACAAATGTCAGTACACTAAATTAGGAAGAATAATAATTTAAAAACTAGTCCTGAGCACTGCTTTGAAGTGTTCGGAGCTAGTCCCAGCTCCCAGGCCAGCTGTGGGTGGTTGGCAGAATGAATCATCAAATGACGTCTTTTATACCGTTTTGACAAAATAACCCGGGCAATTGAGCAACCTTGGTTTTGAAGAGTCATTACTTAGAAAAGTTGACAAATTCCTCAGTTGAGACTTTGCTCTTTGGAGCAAAATTATTTCTAAAGGGTTTCCTTTTGGAATTGCTCCAAGAGGCGGAGGACTGCTCATGTTTTAACTGAAAGCCTGTTGGAGTCAATTTGAGGGAATCTTAGGGCCAGGAGCATCCGTAATGCATTAGCATTATTCACTGTGATGATAGCGCGGTGATAATTTATTCTGGACATCTGAGTAGCAGTAATTGAATGGGAAACTGATTGTACATCATTTGGGGTAGTAATTTCAACTAATCAAGTTTATTTGTGGGGGAAATATAATAGCTCAACAGGAAAGAACATTAGAAAAGACCCCTGTGAAATGTCTTTAAATGAATTTCAATGCCCAGCATCAATTGTTTTAATAGTCAGCATAATCATAGTCTAGAGTGAGGGTCTTGTGAGGCTGGGAGGTGTTGGAGCCAGATGTGAATGTGAGGTGAAGCCTACAGTACTGTTTGACCCTTTGTTAGTGTTCTTTGTGTAGGACAGAAAAGCATGAAGGGGCAGCCTCTATGCTCATTTATTAAAATTGTTTTAATGAAGATTCTACAGCAGCTATGTGCAAATAAAATCTTGTAAAAATTAAACCCCATCAGGTTTTCATGTGCACTAATAAACAATGGCAGTATTGGCTTCCCCCATCTTTTTAACATGAGCATGTTGTCAGTATAAGAATAACAGATAAGAGCTCTTTTTTATCTGCTTGCATGTTTGATGGGTTTTGTTTTCTTTCCAAATCTCCTGCAAGTTCTATTTCTAAATTAATTCCTAAGAAAGAAGACTTAAGATGGCACATTCATGAGCCTGAAATTTGTTTCAGTGCATCCCTGGCTCTTTATTGTCCTTCCATTGTAAAAATTGAAGAGAGAGCCTGGTTGATGGTATTTTCAGTTACCCATGATGTCCTCATTCTAACAGCTGTTTTCATTATCGAATATTGGCTTTCTGTTCTCTTTCACAGTCACACATTTTTTAAACAAAGGAACTTCATTGCTTTTTCAAAGAGTCATACTGGCTTACAGCGTCATCAGCATTGGGTTTAAGAGTGCTAATGAGATTGTTGCAAAATTCAGTGTAAATTTTCTACATAAGGTATAAAAGGGTAACTTATTTCAAGGATTTTCACATATCTTTGCTAACAGGGATGAACTCTTTCTTCATCATTGTTTTTTTGGATGTGAATTGTGTGTAGTTTCCTCTGGCTTCCTATTTTAAATGTTCTCAGATACTGGCCATTATTTCTTGGGTCTGAGAGTGTCAGTTTGTCATCTTGAAAATGCAGTCAAGTTGAAGCTGCACCTCCCCTCCAACCCGGCACTCGTACCTCTAGCTCTGGGTGCGAGGAGACCCCTGGATGTCACAGAGCATGTTGCAGATGGCATATTGGCAATAGCTTGGATGGCCAGCCATAGGAGCCCTGATATGGACTCCTAATGGAGTCACTGCTTGAATGATTGGATGTATAGTATATAGCATATCTAGTAATCTGTATTAATTGAATACTATTTAGTGAAAAATGGAAGAATTAGAGCTGTATGTGTCTGTCTAGGTGAGTTACAGAAATACAGCATTAAGCCCAGAAAGCAGGTAGCAGAAAAGGACATTCCCCATCTTGCCATTTCATGTAAAGTTTTTAAAAACCTGCAAAAGGAAGCAGGGAGGAATTCGTAGGAATGGTCAGTACTGGTTGGGGAGAAGTAGGGAGGAGGTGGCCAGGGAGGGGCCCACGTGGGACTTGAACCACTTTCATAAAGCTCCCTGAGCGGGGCGGCCCGCGGGGGTTTGTACTCATACACTTTATGCCTTTCTATGGGCCCCGATATTTCATGGTGCGTTTTTTTAGAGAATAGACAGGCAACTTGGGTACCTTGTTTTAATCACCCTCATGCTAATAAAGTTCATCATTAGATACAACCTAAGTATTTTTCTTCCGCCTTGGTTTTAAAATGCTTTGCCCTTTTATCCTCTGGAGAAGTTGGGGATATCCTTGGTCGTATTACTCGTCTGTTTCTTTCATTTTAAGTAGTCACTTAGCTCCTCGATACTCATGGTGTAACCTGAACTCATTTGCTCGTGTGACTGAGAATGTCGTGCTGTGTCCTCCGCAGGTATTCACGACTCTGTCGGTGACCAAGCGCTCTGGGGCGAGCATCCTGCAGGCTGGCTGCTGAGGTTAAGCCCCAGTGTGGATGCTGCTGCCAAGACTCCAAACCACCAATGTGTTTCCTTGCCCAAATCCAAGGCGAAGTCTTCAGGAAGGTTCCTGGGCTTCAACACCTGTGTGTCCTGTGCCTACACCACTCAGGGCCCCCTTGGATCTCACGGGTAGGAGGTGGTGAATGGATGGCAGGCAGCGTCACACTGGGGTCACCATGACGGACTCGGAACTGACCTTCGGCAGTGCATCGCGGGATGCGTCCATGAAGTCACTGGCCTCAAGCCCACGCGGTGGGCCGTGACGGAACAGCTGGCGAAGCGGTTTCAGCATGACTCTCTCTGGCTTTTCTTATCTCTCTGTCAAGCTTCTAATGTTGGTTATTGTTTTCTCTTTCCTTCCAGGTGTTAATTGTTAATGATTACTAGAGATGAAAATGTTAGCACTCAATTTTTATCCAAAGCAAGTTGTGGCTCGAGTATGCACATAAGGTGCTCTGTTGCTTGGGCGGTGAGAGTTGGCTCACTTGGAGACTAATGGGCTCGTCCCATGAATGGGAGCTGCCCTGGGACTCACATGTTCTCTTCTACTCGACTCACCTCTTCAGCAGTGTCTCCTAATAAGTTACATGGTCGAGCAAGTAAATGTGTGATTGACTCTGGCCAAATTTGCCCCCATGTGCTCCATCACTAGCTGTATTTTCAGTTCTGTTTAGGAAAGGAAATGCTACTCGGCCAGCATGCCTGCGGCGACATTCCACTGCATGGAACCTCGTGGTCCAGTGCGACCGCCATGGTTACTCACCATGGAGGCAGACTGCGCCTTAAAGCAGTTCGTCGGGTGCTGGTCTGAGCGAGCTGAAACACTTAACACTTGTTTAAAACTTTAAGCTAAAAACACAAATTATCACGGCTTTATTTTTCATATATATTATGTATCCGTCCCTTCCTAAGAACTACATTTATAGGAAAATAGGTCTTTCCACACTTAGAATTTAACTCTTTTGTGGTAATTGCTTTTTTAAGGAAGCTGTTAATGTCATAAGTTATTATTTTTGAACAGGTGGATGTGAAGGATTTTCGTTTAAAAACCAAGTGGTTTTCACCTTTTGTTGGATGCGTGGCTGTCCCTGCGGGGATCCTGGTGGAGGTGCTGGTGCTTCTGTAGCCTTCCAACTTGTGCTGTCACGAGGGGTGTTAACTCCCAGGTAGATTTCTGTGTGAATATACTGATGCGGGTGATACTCAGGCCATCTTCTCCCTCTGTAAGTTGGATTTTAAACGTGGGCTGTGGACATCAGGCCTCCCGCCAGCAGTTCTTATAGCACCTTTTCCACAGCTCCCCTCTGCTCGTATGTCTCAGCCACAACACCGAGCCACCTCAGGGAACCCGTGCAGGTGCCTGGCCTTCCGTCCGCAGAGCCCCTGCCCCTGCCCACCGGGCCCTGCCTCATGCCCTCGTCCCACCTGTTACATGATGGAAACGAGAAAAGGAAAAATTGAGGGGGGACCTGAGGCGGTTGACTGTGTCGAGTTTTATTTATTTTTAAATTTGTTTTGTCTCCAAGTCTGCCAATCTCTGAAATCAGAATAGTAGGCAGGGTGAGACAGTTGTGCCGAATCATGTGGTTCTCCCTGCTCCGTGGACTGGAGGGTTCTGCCCCCTAAGAAGAATCATACTTCACGGACTTGCCTTGTTTAGATTCTATAATTGCCCAGTGTATTGAAACATATTAAGTTCCATGTATTTTTGTTAAAATTCTTCTGAAAAAAAAAACCCTCACACCAATGTGAACCATTAAAAGGTATTGGTACCCACTGCGTGTGCCTTCTTACTCCGTGGCGGTCTCGGGGCTCTTTGCGTGAGCTTTCGCATCAGTGAGAACTAGCTGCCGAGTAAGCGGCAGTGAAGGTGGGCTCTCAGGCCTGGGCGGCATGCTGACGCTCACATGTTAGTGGTGTTGGCTTTTCACAGTCCAGGTTTTATCCCCATTTTACATAGGAATCTGAGGCTCAGATTCCGTAATTTGTCTAACGTGATTCCTAGGTTACAAAATTGAGATTGAGTCTAGATTTTGAGCCCTTGTTAAAATGTAGATACCAGGGCCTCACGCCTAACCAACAGAATCAGATCCTCAAGGGATTGGTTAGGGAAATTGTATTTTTATCAAATACTCCAGGTGATTTTTAGGAGCAAGCCAATTTTGGAAACACTAGGGTGCATCCTGTGGAGGCGACCACTTCTCTGAACAGAACTGAAATAACAGCAAACGAGAACTTTGTATTTACTTGTCCAGATACTTTGCACATAGCACTTCTTTTATATAATCCTCACAACAACCCTTCCAAGGCAGGTGTCATTCATGTCCCATTTTACAAATTAGGAGATGGGCATAGAGAGGTCAACAGACTTGCCCAAGGTCACAGCTGGTAAATGCCAGAACAAGAATTTGAATCCAGCTGGCCTGGTCCAGGGTCTTGTTCTTGGCTGCTGCACCAGAAAAGAACACCGCAGGTGCTCAGATGAAGGTCCAGGTCGGGCACTCGGTGCGCTCTGCCAGCAGGAAAGAGGGAAGGTGGGACTTCGGCTCAGGGGGGAGGGGAGGCCAGGATCTGAGTCAGCATCTACACAGAAGGGCTATGGTTACTGTTGCTGAGGTAGAGAAGCTGAGCTGTCTAATCCACTAAGTCCCATGAGCCAAAAACCTAGGGTTGATAACATTTCAGACCTTTAAAAAAATGGTTCAATATATGAAGACAAAAACCCAACTTAGCAGTATTGCGATGGATAAATCTTTAAATGTCTACCTAATACTTCAATGAAGCAAATGCTGTTGCACCCAAGTCCCACGTATCTGTGAACATTGTATTTAACATGGGAAGAGGGTGCGTTTAGCTGAGCAAGTACATTGCGTTGTGGAACGAAGGCCTTAAACCGGCCCTCAGAGAAGAGGCGTAGCTGATGGAGCTGAGGGCCAGGGAAGGAAAGACCACGTCCCAGGCACTCGACACGCAGTGGTTTGTAAGACTCCTCGGAACTGATACAGCAGCTTCGCCTGCACTCCAACTAATACAGGCATTTAACTCCCTTTTCCCCAGAAAATATTGAATGATAGAAGAAGCTTATATAATTTATACTTCAATGAAAAGAACTCAGTATATAAAAAAGTGAGAGTTTTAGGGCAGTGAAGCTGCTCTGTGTGATACTATAATCATGGGTACATGTCTATACATTTGTCCAAGCCCATAAAATATACGCTGCTCCCTCTCAGCCTTGTTCAGTAGATTCATGAGGTGTGTCTGAGGAGAATGAGAGATTAATTGTATTTATAATGAAGTTCATTAGTATATAAACAAGATGCATGAGTATTTTATTCATGACTATTAAGCGCTGCTAGACAGGCCAGCGCTGGGCTGGGTGTGAGTTTTGAGTCATTGCTCCATTTCTGCAGCTTCTCTGCTCCTTCACTCAGACACACACGGGGACCCCAGGCAGTCACAGGCACATGTGTACACACCTGTGCCCAGGCCCCTCACGCAGCAGGAAGAACAGTTCAGGTGACCTGTTTTTTCTGGAAGCAAATACACGTGAGGCACAATCTAAGAACCTCTGTTATGTGGATGCAACCACAGAAACAGAGGCCCCCAGAACTGACGTTCTGCAGGCCCAGGTCCCACCGACAGATCCCTTTGATGGCTTGGAGCCTTCCTAGTGAGGGTCTGTACGCTCCTTCTGGCTCCCCTTGTTCCCCAGGGGAGAAGGGGTTCTGTGGAAGGGCGAATCCTGAACCTGAGGCCGAAATCTCAGTCAAGCACCTTCCAGTCTCCCTTGGTGGAGGGAGGGCAAAGCTGGGAACAGAGCCCCTCGGACTTCCCAGCCTCTCTGTGTGCCATCACATACCTCACAAAAGTGTTAACTTTTGTCATCTCTGTGTATTTGCCTAACACTATACTTTGAAGTGATCTCCTTTCTTTTCAATGGAAGCACATTTATTTGAAAAGAAAATCGTAGATCAAAATCATGAATGGAAATCTGTCTCATTTGCTGTAGAGATTAATTTTTAAAACCAATAAACATTTGTATATGCATAAAATATTTCTAGAAGAACACAAACAGTTCCTCGTGATTGCCTATGGAGGACAACTTTTGGTGACTATTCCTGTATATTCCCATTTATACTTTCCACTTTTGGAATTAAATAAAAACAAACAATTTGAAACAAAATGTAATGAGAAAGAAAACACATTGGTATTAAATTCTGGCTAGATACTGTTGCCTTTGGAAGATGCCAAGCCCGAGGCTTCTCTGATAAAGAGAATTAGTAAGCAGAGGGAGATGGTAAGGAAACTAGAGCATCCAGCTGAAACTTTCTCTCTGATGGGATAAAAAAGAACTGAAACATAATCGGAGACTATCTCTCCCATGCTGTTATTCGTGCTGCCTTCCTTTCCACCCTAATCATTCTCTCAGGTCTGCGCATCCTAGCACTGACATGGTCTCCCCTCCCCGGCCAGCATTGCTCCAGGAACAGAACAGGCTCCAAGAAGTCAGAACAGAAAGCAGAAGTCAGGGTTCTGGGTCTGCGTCTCTGCAATTCTCTTGTCCTTTCCCTCATGGTCACAAGATGGCTGCTGTAGCTCCAGGCATCAAGTCCATATTCAAGGCAGTAAGAAGGGGGGTGGTAAAATGGGTAGAACTGCCTCTACCTTTTATGCAGCTGGCCCAACATCCCCCAGCAGTCGTTTTCACCTCCTTGGCCAGGGCTGTGTCCCCTGGCCACCCCTAGCTGCAAGGGAGGCTGGGAAAGTGAGTTCCTTTTAGCTTTTCCAGCCTATTGAGTGGATGAGCCAACGCACAGCGTCTATCTCGGCATCTAAAATAGAGGCAAACTAGACAAGGGAGGGAATCGGAGGAAAAGCTAATCTTTGTTTCCTGTCTGCCCTCCTCCTGCAGGCCCCACCCTCCCCCGCAGTTGTAAAGCTCCAGGATTGTGCTGGTGAAAGCTCCACTGTGTGCTGCCCGAGCTACGTCATCACTCAGGACATCAGGGCTGCGGGAAGGGGGAGCAAGGCGAGCCCTCCTAGGCGGTCCGCTCCTTTCCCTGCTCATTTGCCAGAAGGTTTGGGTTTGACTTAAGTCATCATTAAGCAGCCTAAGCACTGGCTTCTAACCCTCCCCTCTTGTGACCCCTCCTTGTCCGGTTACTCTGTTCTCAGTGCAACC